TGATCTTATTGAACACAGTCGTGATTTATATGAACAAAAAACATTACCTGGACTTCATTTTTCACAAAACATGGGAAATATGTATACACCATCAGTTTATTATAGTTTATTTTCATTTCTTAGCAGGTTTGATTTCATTTACTTAAATTATTATTTAATATTCTTTTTTTTTTTCTTGAATATTTTTTCAGTCAATCAAGTGAAGAGCAATTGTATGGCGGACGTATTCTTTTATTTTCTTATGGCTCAGGATTAGCATCATCTATGTATAGTATTGTTTGTCGTAAAGTCCATGAATCTCGTTTTACACTTGCACAAATACAAAATAGTATTAAACGAGCACGTCATATACTTGATTATGAACGAATAGAATTAACACCAGATTTAATGGATAAATTATTATTAGAACGAGAGAAAAATGAACATAAAGGTAGAAAATAATTATTTTAGAATGAATATAAAGAAAGCCGATTCTTGCCTTTTGTTCTTGTAGTACCTTTCATTCCATTACAACCAATTGAAACCTTAAAATCGGGTGATTTGTACTTAAAATCTATTGATAAAAATCATCGACGTTATTATGAAAAATTTCTTAGAAATGATAATTCTATTGATAAAGATAAAGAAGATACAAATAAATCTATCGAACAACTTTATGTAAGTTATGACTGTAATTTTTTTCAGTTTTATTTAATTGTTTCTTAAATTGTAGACTGAATATTTTCAAAGTCATCAAATCAATGGTTATGCACACTAAATAATGATGATTAATAATATTATGCTTGATTGCTTTTTTTTTCTTCTGACTAACGAAGTTGTTTATTTTTCTGTTAATATTTTTTAAATGCTTACTCTCGTATATGACTATGTTTTTTTTTATTTGATATTGCTATCAGTACTGATTTTCTGATAATATAGGTGTTTACCGTATACATATAACTATGTTTGTTATCAAAAGTTGAAACGATTTAATTAATACTTTTTATCTAAATTTCTCGAGATAACACGTGTGCTATTTTTCTTAAGAGTACACCTTCATATCGCACGTCTGTTCGCACTGTCGCAGGTATACCGCAGTACTCATAACAGCTGGTGAGATGCGAACGGTAGCGTTTATGACTTTCGATTCCCACTATAAACGATCACGAAAAGGTGCTTGCTGCCCAAATTTGAGTTGTTTATTATAAATAAAAATTCATGTCATAACTGAGATTGATTTGGGCTCTATGGTTAGTACAGAAGGCTCAGGCACATCAACATTATTTCAGTGCATTGAAATAAACTCAATTCTGTCAGTTTTTATAGGCTTCAATTATATTCATTTATTTTGGTGCCATACACTATGATACAACACTTTCACAGAAGTCACCGGTATAGGGCACATTATATTGATCAGTAGTTGTCCCATGTAACGCCCATCCTCCCTCTTTCTTCAAGGTTTCTGGAAAACAGTTCATTAGACGAATTTGAAATATTGACGGTAGCTAGTTCTTGACGAGTAGAGCAAAAGTTCTCATAGATTCAACTTTCTTGAATGCTGCCGTCTATAAGATATTGCGATTACCATGGCGAAAATGCCCTCAATTGTCAATTTCTGTGTTCCCGGCAGGCTATCTAGAGGAAGTGAATCTACAAAAATGATGAAGATTGATTAAGAGAGATAGACAAGATGATAGTGTTACTTTTAAGATCACTAGAATACAGTATTAAATACGCAAAATATTTGTACATATGTGGATTGGCCGCATTTGAACGAATTTGTTCCAAAGAAGAACATCATTAGGAAAGAAAAAAAATTGAATATGTCACATTTTAAAGTACGAAAGATATAAGTTCATTTTCGTTATCAACATGAAAAAATTAGAGAAAATTTTTCTGCAAATGAACACACAGTTTTTTGTTTGATTCAAAAGAGTGTTGGCTGGGAGATCACAATATGGCACACTCAAGATCATGATTGACTATAACAATATTAATGAGACAATGAGAAAATAATGAGTATGTTTTCGAAGTCTGTATGCAATATCTTCTATCCTTTCATTCATTGCTAGATACTAAAGATAACAATATCAATTCAGAATATAATTACACGAGAGATAAATCCATTGACATTTCGTTGAATTATTTACTTACGGCTGAAATCAATTTCAAAATCAGAAAGGTAACGGAAAGATCTTCATCAATATAAAGATGCTGTTAAACATGATAAACAAAATATTTAGAATGTTTCAATGTATGATAGAGGTTATTTTGCTCCTTATGAACGGTTCTAGTGTTAAAATACGAGAAGTAGAATCGAGATATATCTGATGACAAATAAATCAACATATTATTCAATGCTTGTTGGTATTGAGTAAACTCACTTGACAGCCAAACCTCATTTTTATCAATGTATTTAAATTGATGATAAACAAAGCAAGTTATATCCTCTCATCAAGTATTTTCTCTAATAGCATGGCATCCACTTGTTTTGCCTTATTGAACTAGTTCACAATGATCATCAATTAACCTAAACGGTGCATTCTGGATAATCGATTGCTAATCTCTTCTTGTATGTGTTGACTTAGTTAAATGACTTGTCAATTATTGTCATTAATGAGTCTAAAATTCAATTGCCATAATCGATCTTTAATTTCTTTCATTTCACCTATGCGAAAGATTGTTTCATTACTAAGAGAACTTTATTAAGTTGTATTCACAACTGTTTTAGCTACAAGTGAAAAGAGTGATGATTAACAATTGTTGCTGTCTTCGCTTTCATAATATAGAAGGTCCAAAACAACAAAACTCACCAAAGCTTGTATTTTGGGTAGCTTTATTAAAGAAAATAAAGTGTCATATGAAAGATAACAAGAGAATTAATAGAACTGATTCGATCATCAGATTTCATTCTTGCGTCTGAACGAGTATTTTTTTTTGACTTTCGCTTTTCAAAATCATTGCGACAAAAAATAATAATATTTGATGCCTACATCGAGAAAGAATTAAAGATAGGAAAGGAAAAAAAATTCGTGAAGAACTGTATTTATATTTCTAGTATTGAATTCAATGATTGAATATAACTGAACAAGAAGATAGCTTGGAAGATCTTTTTCTCGAAGATTGAATGAAGTAATCTTACTTTACTTGTTCAACTGAAATATTTGAAAATCCATAGAAATCTTCGCCTTATGCAAAATAATCATACAACAATGATTATAAATCTTACATTCATCTACGTGTATTTAATGTGAACAGCAGTTGAGAATAGACCTATATATAGTTTAGCTAATCATACAAGATTTTTAAAATTTCAATGAAACATAGTCCAGATCATATCATGCTCGACTGTGTATTACATTCATTATTACAATGAATGAGTTTAATTAAGAATCAATTATAAATCATGTATTTAAAGAGATCAAAATTCTTCTTCCTTCACGTCTCTAATTTTATTTCTTATGTAGATATTTGTGATTCGGCAAGTAATAAAGCATCAACTGATACCAGAAGGCAATGGGTTAAAATTGGTCACACTAAATTGTATGAATAATTACACGCAAAAATTGGGGTATTAGTAAGTTACTTTCTAACCCACTCCAACCCCCGTTTAATTCAGAAATATTATCAATCTACAGAGCTTAGAACTCTTCACTCAGGAGACTCCACTCTAAGTCACTTTCTTTGAAAAATTTTTGATAAAAGAAATAACTACCATTTTTCATAGGTCTACTCTAACCTACTCTAAGTTCACTTCAACCTACTTCAAGCCAGTCCGAGCTATTTCAAGCCGAAACTTCGCGAGGAAATGAACAACTCAGAATAAAAAACCACTCTTTAATTTATTTTAGACCTGTCTAGCTAGATATCACTTCCGCCATTGTTAGAGGTCAGAGGTCCAAGGTCAGAGATGAACGTTCGCACCTGATGGAAAATTTTACAGTTGAACTTAGACGTCCAATATAAGAATTTTGAAGTGACAGTGTGCAGGATCGGCGGTCTATGAAGCAAGACAAAGATTTTGTTTGAAAAAACTTGATATTGGACGTGTAAGTTCAACTCTAAATTTTTCCATCAAGTGCGAGCCTTCACCTCTGACCTTGGATCTCTGGCCTCTAACAATGGCGAAAGTGATATCTAGCTAGACAGGTCTAAAATAAATCAAAGAGTGGTTTTTTATTTTGAGTTGTTCATTTCCTCGCAAAGTTTGGGCTTGAAGTTGGGTGGAATGGACTTAGAGTAGGTTAGAGTAAACCATAAAAATGATATTTATTTCTTTTGCCCAAGACTTTTCAAAGAAAATGACTTACAGTGGGGTCTTCTGATTGAAGAGTTCTAAGCCCTATAGATTGATAATATTTCTGAATTAAACGGAGGTTGTAGTGGGTTAGAGAGTAATTTACTAGTACCCCATTTATTCTCTTCGATCAAAACAAAGTCGATTACAATTTCTTTCTTACATATTCGAGATCCCTCTGAAAAGTTAGAAGATTAGGATCATTTTCAGATACTGAACATTGTGAAATACTCACGACGTGTTCAAAAAGTGAAAGTGCCTTCGAATAGTCAAGAATGTAGATATACACCGAACCGATATTGTTGTAAGAAGCAGTCGAATTGAGGTGATTTGAAGGAAAAGTTTTTTGAAAGATTTCTAGTGCTTTCTGATGAGATGAAAGTGCCTTTGAATAGTCACCCTAGTTAGAATACATTCAACCAATGTTAGGGTAATTAGTGTAAGAAGACACCAAATCAGAATGATTTGAAGGAAGAGTTTTTTTAGTCATTTCTGGTGGTTTCTGATGCAATGAAAGCGCTTTCGAATAGTCACTCATCTTGCTAGACACCAAACCGATACTGTTGTAAGAATTAGATAAATGGGCATCCATTGGTGAGAGAATCTTCTTTTTAATTACAATGGATTGTTGATAAAAGGCAATAGCATCTGTATATTCTCCTTGACCCTCCTTGACCATGGCTAGCTTATGATACATTAATGATTTTTCATGAGGAGTTATTGCTTAATCAATTAGAACATCATATACCTCTTGGACATTGTCGATTCGCCCAAGTTTAATTAGCAACATACCCAAGCCATCCCATCCCTCCTTGTCAGAATAGGTATTTTGTCGCATGTGTTTTGTGAGTGCATGAAGATCCGAATCATTTTCACTAGTCAATGTTAAATCGACTTGCCAAAGACAATTATTTCCACCGATCTGTTCTATTGGTCCAATACGAAAAATGGAATGCATGGAAAAGATAGTTTTTTCTTCTCGTTTGTAACAACTCGCATCTCTGATGTTAGCAAATGGTGTTGGTGTAATAGACGGATCAATTTTCATTACGAATAGAATACCAATAAGATCTGATGATTCTAAAGTTTGACGAGCAAACATGAGAGATACTTGACGGTGCATACTACTCAATAAAAAGTTGTTAAATGATAAAAGTCTCCCTTCAGTTTTGCACAATTGATCAAAGTTGTCCTTTCAGAGTCCTTGATCACGATAAACAGTGAATGAATTCGATGTTGAATGTCCAGCAAACTGTTGAGCATGAAGTTTGGCGATTCGGTTGTGAAGATCACGTATGAAAAATTTCATGCTTATAATTAGATCGATCTCGATCAGAAGTAGCGATCGCTTGAGCATGGAATAAAGAAACGATTGGTAGGTATACTCCTATATTGGAACATGTTCATGATATTCTCGTTCGATTTTGGGGACATTTCGGAGTTTTTTCAGATTTGCGGGAAATAATTGATGACAAACAGTAATAAATTCATCGATATGTTGTTATTTGAAATCGATGGTTAATAAAATTTCTTTCACTATTTGAGTGTACATAAACGATGAATCCAATTCATTAAGGTTTTGCTTGGTGCTTCCATTACATCTGGTAATAAAACTTAGCAAAATCATGTTTTGATCACCTACTGGTGCTACTTGTTGAAGGTCTTTACAAATGGAAGCAATATCTATAAATACTCCTTTCATTTTTGGCAATTGTTCAACCCAATCTTCATGCTGAGCGCTTGGTTCTCACTTAAAATATAGATAGTACTATTTTACGGAATGTCATGGATGATAGGAAGAGTTGTTCGCCCGAAAGCATCAGCAAAGATCATAAATACTTTTTCTTTTTGAATATCGTTGATGAAATCGATGCATTCATTCACATTGGTGAATGAATATATTTTGTTGACTACTTTTTTCAATTTATAAATGATGCGGATGTAATCATCATTACTGGTGTCTTTAACATTGGCATCAAGTCACATCAGTAGGAAGTTCTGCATCATAAAAGTATAAAAAGGGTGTTGTGACTTTATGCTTGTATGTTCACTGGATATGACAACAACAGTAGCAATTGTTGTTGACTTTTTCTTTTTGTCCATGATGTGTACTGTGTTTAATCAATAAAAAAAATAAGATGACTTGACTTTATAATAATATGTTGGAATTTGTTTTCTAAATATTTCTATTGATTTTTGATTGTTATTGTTGTTCTGTTTTTTTTTCGTTTCATTTGATTACTTCATTTCTTTTGTTCTTGGTTGTTACTCTGATGACACAAGAAAACGAACAAACGTGAAGAATTTTATTGCAATTAAATTTCATACACTATGTCACAATTCGCTTTCTTTTTATAATATTTTGCAGTTTACTCTCTGCTTCTTCTTGGGTTGTCTTGATTGAATTAGCGCATAGAAACAGAATAGCACACATTGTTGTTTGAAATGCATGACGAGTTCTTATCTCAAGAGGCTTTTTCTCTTAGTACTCAATTCAGAATACAGTATCATACGAAACCGATGGAAGTATATGAAGAAGTTTGCTATATCGTCGTCAAGATTTGTTTTTCTCGGTGGAAGCCCTATGCATTTGAACATAGCATGCAAAAAGATGTTTTTCAGCTATGTCCTCACACTATTCTCAATAAAAACCTAAATGTTACTATTATCATGTATTTGTTTTAACCACGAGATATAATGTCTATGATACTATTGTATGGTGACAATATTGTGTTGTTGTAATGTATATGAGGTTACAAAATCTATTCATTTTTTAATATATTGACTTTGAGATATCGTTTTGAGAATATTTTGCAACTATATCCTTAGATATGAAAATTCGATTATTTTTCTATATTTAAGTAATATCAGAAAATAATGGTTGGAAAATAACGTATAATAAAAAATGAATTGTGTGTTTAATTTATGAAAATAATTTTGTTGAAAAATAAGTAATATTAACAAAACAAAAGTCATGCGATATCTATTTGACGATAATTAAATAAACAAGTTGGTAAAAGACCGATTGCAATAGAGTTTCATTTTTAATGGATTCAATTTATTCACCATTGCACTAATTTGGAATAAGTTTTATCAATGGCTATAATATACAATAGATGTTATTAATAAAAACATAATAATCAACAAAAGTAAATATGGGTTCAATATTACTTTCATAAAATTATTAATGTAGTTTTACTGAGAAGAAACAAAACTAACAATGGAACCTTTTGTATTGTTCATCGAGTTAATCGACCGCATTAGGATCAAATTATTACTCTCACCGCCAAACTAACAAATTTAAAATCTTACGTGCCCATAGCGAGTCTGGACCCAGATAATCAATTTTTAAGATTTTGACAGTTTTGGTAGGTAAACATAATACATATCAACTGGATCGAAATTTTTGGTCGTGTACTCATAATAAAATATACACCATTCGAAAGAGCGCGAAAAACTGAGTCTAACGATGTAGTTTTTCTGAAGACATACTCCCAAGTCCCCAGCAAAAATTTTTAAAAAACGTTTCTCAATCACTATGATAGAGCTTATTGAAAAATGTTTTTTAAAAGTTTTTGCTGGTTACTTGGGAGTACGTCTTCAGAAAACTATATCGTTAGACTCAGTTTTTCGTGCTCTTTCGAATGGTGTTTATCATATTATGAGTATACGACATAAAAAATTTCGATCCAGTTGATATGTATTATGTTTACCTACCAAAATTGTCAAAATCTTAAAAATTGATTATCTGGGTCCAGACTCGCTATGGGCACGTAAGATTTTAAATTTGTTAGTTTGGCGGTGAGAGTAATAATTTGATCCTAATGCGGTCGATTAACTCGATGAACAATACAAAAGGTTCCATTGTAAGTGAAATTTCAACTAATCAATAGAAGATTCCACTAACGATAAACACTTCATATTTTTAGTCATCGTGTATGTTTAGTTTATTTCGTTTCTGTGACAGTGCATAATAGTAATAATCAAAAAGCACGATGATTTTTAAATATATGACATTTACATTTTCATTCGTGATTCTTATTTTAAGAAGTCCATGCACGAAAAAATTATGTCTTTCTTGTAAATTAATCTCGATAGATATATTTACTTAATAAAAACCAGATGCTTTCTCTATCTTATTGTTATATTCCAAATTGACAATTACATTATCAAGTGATGTTGTTTTCTTTTAATATCTTTATAATTGTTATCTACATTGAATCATTATTCGATGAATAATTCAGAGAAATGAAGTGTAAAAATCAACAAATAATTCTGGATGATTTTACTTATAGACAAGTCGTCATTTATGTATGGATTTACGTTGTGAATAAAAACACGATAAAACTGGGTTAATGCTTACGTGTTCATTATGAATTCAATGGGCATAATTTTCATCTGTAGTCTATGTATCTTAGTCAAATGTCATGAAGTTAATTATTTAATATTTTGATATATATAATACTCAGATGTCTAATATAGAAATATTTCAATGTTCAATTTTCCCACAATAAACTCTTGTAAAATGATATAAATTGTCAGTGATAGATTAACAAAATTACAGTTAGGAGGAAATAGTCTTTGCTATTGATTTCTAACTGTAACTTGAATCAATTTTAATGGAATAATGAGAGATTTCTTTAAATTTGATTAGTTTTACGTGTTAATCCGAAATGTTCAACTTTATCATATTTAACTTGATGCAGAAACAAAAACTTTAAAGTTTATAGATAAACAATCAATTAGTAAAAACCATTTTATGCCTTAAGGAATTTAGTTAGTTGTTTGTATATTATCAAATTACTAGTTATTGGTGGTCTAATAAATATAATTTTAATATGTTAATATTGCTTTTTATTTCGTTAAAGACCAGCATAGATGTCATCTACGTTGACATTGATCCTACAAATAGTAATAAAGGTGAAACATTTTTAGAATTATATATAAAATGTATTAAATACGATAAAATTTCTGATTAAATCTTCATTAATGATGACTTCATTCTGAACTCAATTTTTTCAACATAAAAAAGATTATAGCAAATATGTTATAACAAAAAAAAGATAATAATGATTTTCAAAATGCAGTCAATAGATAGTTTTTAAAATCTTTCAAGTCACTATGATGATCAATGGTTGTGAAAACGAATTATTGTTGTATTTTTTTCTGAATTATCATGTAACCTCTGTTGTAAAACATATGAAAAACTATGATTACTCAATTTCTTCAGTTTTATAGTTTGAACATTACATTGGTATACCGTTGTCTCTATCCTAGCTCTTCTCTTATGTTTTGCTTGCATACATGCGAAAACAAAAGTTTTTCATTCATGCAATAGCAAGAGAACATTCATATTATTTTAGTACTCTGTCCCCCTTTTCTTGTTTTCCATACAAACGTCACGCTTTTATTTATTCTCTATTTTTATAAATTCTCTTCAAATGATTCGGGAATTATAATAATATCGATTCGATATCTTGCACATAATGAAGTTTTAGATAAAAAGTATTTTGGAACTAATAGAAAACTTATTCAGTCTTCTCTTTTCATAGAATTTTTGTATTCTAATAATGGAGCGTAGGTGTTTGTGAAAGCATGAACGATACCCACACCTTCAAGAATACGTTATTAATGAAAACTCATCTACAGAAGATGATGAATCATATGAGGCAGTAATTGAATACATGAAAAGGAAAATGGATCATGAAAAAAGTGAACATGTATTATCTTTATGGCAAAAATGCTCATATATATATCTGTAATGATAACGTTTAGCAGCAACAGTAAGTTTTCAAATAAAATAAAAGTTTAAAAATCCTACTGTGATTGTGAAAGTAGCTGCTGAATGTCGATTAGTGTCAGGTCTGAGCCTGATTCCAAAAAAACGTACGCGTGTATGATACTAATGTCAAGTACTCTTTTACATTGATCTAGTACTTTAATTTACGCACGTTTATACTCTAAATGCACCTATATGCATACAAAGTTGTCGTGACCGAGGGGGGGACGGGGTCACACCTCCCCAATCTTCGGAAATTTTGTTTTTTTTGCTTGATGGTTTTTAAAATTCTTAGTAAATTCTCAAAAATTTCAGAAGAATTTTCGAAAAATTTTCAAAAATCTTAAAAAATTTTCGAAAAGTTTCCAAAATTTTTTTCAAAATGCCGATAAATTTATAGAAGTTTTTGGCAAATATTCGAAAAATTTTTCAACCCCCCCCCCCCCCCCCCCCAATCTTTAACCCTTCGCGACCGCCCTGCACGCGCCGGCATATAGAAAGAGCAATAAAGAAAATAAAACAATATGTTGGAATAGGTCTTTTCTCACACCTTAATAATTTTTATATCTGCAAGAAAGATAGACGAGTTAAGAATACCTAACAATCGACAACCAGGAAGAAAAAAAGAAAAAAAAAAGAAAAGATTGTCGACAAAATGTTGAACAAAAAAAAAAGAAGAAAATAAATAAAAATAGATCATCAAGATGATAATTGCAACGTTCTTGTGTATTCGCTTAATGCTTGATAAATAAATTGATATTGATCATTTGTTTGTATCATTCCACCACGATCTCGACGTAATTCACAAAGTATACGAACGATATCAATTATATGTTCATTATCAAGCTGTTTTTTACCATTGCTCAGTGCAATGAAGCATCCCGTACGGCCAATGCCAGCACTAAAATAGAAAAGTTATTATTAAATGTTATATTGAATGTAATCAAAAATAGTTAAAAGTTCAAAAGAATTAATTCATTTTTCCACGTGAATTGATCTGACATTCTTTTATTAATTGAATTCTATTATTTCTAAAAATATTACTGATTATTCTTACTATATGAACATATTCTTTGATGTTGTCAACCTACGCCTGTCTCAATTTATCTTTAACATAAACACTTGAATGAAGATTTTATCATAATGTTATTAACGGGTAGGTTGCATGAACTCTTTTAAATTATTTTTAGGAAAAAAAAACACCCAATAGCAAAGGTAACACTGTTTTTTTATTCATCATTATATTTGATTAACATGTGGCAGACATACTCTGTTAAAAGTAATGCGCTATGTTTTTTCTCTCATGTCATCAAACAAACAAAACTGATGTACCTCCAATGAACAACAATAGGATCAGAATGTTTATTTAGATTCGACAATTCTAATCGACTTTTTTTCAACATTTTTAACAAGTTCAATTAATGGTTGAGCAATATCCGGACAAGATTGATCTGACCATGCTATACATAAGATATAACATGCATTGATGAAAAACTTCATTTCATTCACTTACTTGTATACCAATAATGTTCAACTCCACGTTGTTCATTTTCAAACTAAAATAAAAAACTTTTATGAAAGAAAAAGAAAAACATTCAAGTTTTTAAATCTTACTTCAATTATCAACCGACGTATTTCATAATCGGTTTGATATGAAATTGATTTAATTTGAACTTGAAATGGTCCATATTGAATAGCTTGGCTATCTGGTATATATCTTTCACATTTTGCCTAAAATAATTTTTCATAGCAAAAAAAAATATTTTCAAAATAAATTTTCTACTTTATTTTTTTTTTCAAATAAACGAGTTATCATAACAATAACTGGTACATGTTCTTGCCAAATCATTCGATAGAAATTTATAATTGTATTGGCAAGTGGACCTTGTGTTGCAATAAATGCATGATATTCATTTGAATAACCATTAACATACTTTGCATTGATATACGTTGAAAGTGAATCACCAGGTAGTTCAGATAATTTTACACGAGAATGTTCATCTTTAATAAAGAAAATTAATAAAAACAAAAAAAAAAAGATTTTATTTATTATTCTTACTAGCAATAATTGTACCATAACGATTTTTAGTACCAGCACCACACATACGAACTTTTTCAAGATGATTTGTTGGAATTGTCTAAATGAATGAGATTATGTGCTTTTTTTTTGTTTTATTCTTTGAAATACAAACCCAAAATTCATGATAAAGTAATCGAGCATCTTGTGCATGTAGATGAAGTTCATCAATAGTTAATTTTCTTGTTGCTGTTAGCAAATATTCAACAGATGGACTAAAAAAAACGAAACAAAAATATCTTTAAATAAAATTATTACACATGAACGATTCCTATCACTTTGTCGTACATAACCATCAATATAAAAACAACCAATGGCACACATTATTAAATAGTTGTTGAGGTGTATCTATATTAGCACATGTTTGTTCACATTGCCTACCACAGTGACTATATTCTTTATTAGAACCGTATATTTCATAATTAACAACTAACAAATATTTTCAAAATATCTTTTTTGAAATTCATAATTAAAATTCACTTACATCTACGTTCGGTAACTAACGGCATACAAAAGAGCTAAGACAATAAAACTTATTCGTGCATATGCCATATTGAATCAATAGAAATAAAAATTGATTTTGTTGTCTATATATAACAAATGCTGACTCAAATGAAGAAAAGAAATACAAAATGACGAAATATCTCTACATCTACTTGCTAACATCCATACATTCAACAAAAAAAAAACAAAGAATGCATCTATTCAAATTTTATTTTATTCGTTTGTCAAAAAAAATTCACACAAACGAATAAAAAAGAAATACATATTTATTTATTGTTTATGGGTAGAGGTGTAAGCCGTGCGGCTGAGCCGCCGTCGCCGCCGACAGACTCGAAAAACTTTAAGCCGCCGCCGCCGTGACAGTAGCAATTTTGGAAATTTTTAAGCCGTCGCCGCTGAGACACTTTAATTGCAGCCGCCGCGTCGCCGATGGTATTCAAAATTTTAAAATTTTCGAGCCGCCGCCGCTGGCAACTAGCATAAATAAACGTTTTATTTATATTTTCTTTAATTCGGTACTTTGACATCTTAGAATCCCAATAAATCTCTTCTTCATTATCTTCCTCGTCTTCAACTTCACTTTCGTGCTGGTTCTTTGACCAGTCAGGTGCTTGGGGTTCTAAATTGTAAACAAACCCTTAATTCTGTGTTGGTTGAAAATTCTAAGTTATCATTTCAGTTGTTTATGTCTTTATATTAGATATATTAATAAATACAAGAAGAGAAGAGCATTTTAAATTTTGATTAACAAAAACAAAATAAAAACAACAAACTTGAATACGCTAAGTGCCTTCACTTATTAACAATCGTGGTGGTGATTTTTCATTTATTATTTACCCTAGCAATTATATTTATTTTTAATTTTAGACTTTTTTTTTATTATGTCTAGATGTGAATTAAAGTTTTTCCACATATGTGTTTGAAGATAAAAAGGTCGAGATATTGAAATAGGCCTTGTCTACACTAAAAATTTTGATGGTAAATTAAGAAACATGATTGGTTAAACAGTTAATAAACATTTAAAACACTTTTATAAAGTGCATTAAATTTATTGCACTATTCAGAACCACATTAAAGTTGATGCACCAATCAAAGTCTGATTGGATTTTCCCATGAGACTGACGCAGTTTTCAATGAGCGATTCCTCTATGATTGAAGTGAACAAAAACTACGATTCATTTCAAAGTCAAGGATTCTGATTGATGTATTAACTGACAAATGTAGACACGAATTGATTTAATACGAATTGAATACTGCATTATCCTCCTCGTGTAGACAAGGTTATAGACTAATTTATTTATGATAACGTAGTACTTTTTAAACTTCAAGCCGCCGCCGCTGAGACACTTTAATTACAGCCGCCGCGCCGCCGATGGTATTCGAAATTTTACAATTTTCGAGCCGCCGCCGCTGTGCAATCTTGGAATATCAAATCTGCGCCGCCGAGCATTTTAAAAAAATTTTAAAAAACTGGCGCCGCCGCCGATCAGCCTATCGGCTTACACCTCTATTTACATTGGTTTAACAACAGCTTTCCAAAGTCCATCGTGTGTTTTTTTTATTATAACATTTTCTCTTGGTGTGTCTCTTGTAATTGTTTTCAATATTTCATAAGCACGTGCTACAGCAGTTTTTTGTAAACTATCACATATACCACCACCAATTTTTAATTGTTTATTAAATATTAATTTAAATTTATGTGCATTAATGCTACGTGCACGTAAATCAAAATATTGTTCAACTAATTCAATTTTTAATTCCGATTTATCACTAGCTGTTTTTGATGAACTAGTGTTATAAAAATAAGACTTGATTTGACTAGGATCTTCAAGAGCTTTTTTTAATTGATCATTCGGTGTACGAGCTTGCATTCGTTCACATATATGATTAAAAATAAGTTCAACTTGTTCACGACGTTGTTCTCTATATAGACAAAACATAAGAACAAAATTTAAAACCAATAAATTTTTATGTGGAAATAGGGTTCTTTTCTTTTATTCAAATATATGAAATAATTCTCAATTGATTTATTGCATAGTTTTATATCTGTATGTTACATCATTTATCTTTTTATTAGATTTTGTTCTTTTTCAATTCTCATAACAGAATTGAAAATAAAATATCTATAGAAATCATTTTCTTTCCACCTGTTGCAACTATGTAAAGTAAAATAGATTGTTCTTCTAGCGCAGATAGTTTCTTGTATAATCTACAAGACAATAAGGACTATGTTTCCAAATATTCATCGAAGTTACTCGATTAATTATATGATTACAAGATAAGTTCGCCAACTGATTACATGCTTTTGACTCGTGCCTATGTGCATCATGAAAACCTAAATGAATTTTGAATAGATGGATAAGTTCAGGCTCTTAGCTTATTGTGATGGACATACTGTAAATTCACGGTAGTTTTTAAATGAATGCCTTAGAATTCCTCAGAAACAACAGGAAAACTGATTTTCTAGTTTTGATTGAAAACTTTATGCAAAAATATATCTTTAGCTTATTGTGAATGATTCAAATCTTCTGATTTGCTTCCATCCTTAAATAAGAACATCGAATCTGGTATTTTATGTGAGCAATGTAGAAGACAATCTTTTGCAATAACTGTATCGTACCATAAGAACAATAATAAGATCTGAAATATTCACACAAAAAAACACTGTTCTCGTTGAAGTCTGCCTGTGTGTAAAGTTTCAAATCGAAATTCTAAAATAAGTTTTCTTGGTGTTTTCAGAGAATTCAGAATTAATTTTGGTTCTATATAATGTGGTCTCGACTCAAAAGTGATTAATCAGTTGCGAAACTTCCTTCGTTAGTCAGTTGGGTAAATCAAATATTATCCAATATGTGATTTTTTTGATTCTCTACAAAAGAATCACAATATCATTCTAACTCTGCTTTGTTCTATATCTCCAAGTTTTCCATTCATATGTCAAAATTGATATCAATATCAATTTCAATTGTACTATTTTCTTTCATAGCCATCAACTAGCATCAAGATTCATGATTGCATATACCAATTTCATTGAGGCAACCAAGCGCCTTTTAGCACATCTGGCATAGACTACCAAGCGTCTACGAAGTGCCTATATAAATGAAAGACTTGATAAACTATTCTTTTTTTATTTTACTTTTAACAAATAAACTCTATTGTAATTTACACTCATCTCGATTAATTTTATAATTTAATACGAAAAAAAGAATCTAGAATGAATGATAGATGAGATGAAATATGATCAGAATTATCCCATATTGGAAAATTATTTAAGTATAATTTGGAACAAAGCCTTTAGATCAATACCGTGTTTCTTTTGGTTTTGTTTCATCATCATCATCATCACTTTGATCAGAATCAATAATTGATTGACCTGAATAAATGAGAATAATTTAAATTTTAAGAAGTTTATTTAACTTATACCACTTGTTGTTGGTTTTTGTTCTTTATCTTCAGTACGTTTCTAAAACAAAATAATCTTATTATATATTCAATGATAATCTTTTCTTTACATACTCGTTTACTACTAGGTTGAAATAGTCTAAGTGAAGGATATTCCACTGGATTTGATGTTGATGGATCTAAATTTTTATCTCAATAAATATATTTTTTTCTCTTTACGTTGAATACACTTACGAGTTGCCATTTGTTCCGTAGGACCTAGTAAAGTTCGTTCAATTTTCGTAACATACATCGTAAAATAACTACTTTGTGCTTGTCGTACAAGTTCTTGAATTGGCATAACCGCAAGATCCATAATAGTTCGTTTCTCATGCCTATTGAAAAAAAAACTTTTTATATTTTCGTATTCATTAAGAATATTTAAATGTTATAACATCTCAAAAAAAATTCAACTTACTGAATCGTAAAACAATATCTATGTGCCATAGGTCGATCAACAATAATTGAACAAGCTAATGCATTTCTTATTCTTTTGATATTATAATTCTAGAATTATCGTTTGATGTTTATTAAGATATAAATATTTTTCACTTACTCGTTGACCTAATATTTGTCGTTCAGTATCAAATATATCTTTTAAAGAATTAAATAATGAACCAAAAACAATAACTTGATGTTGGACATACTGAAATATTCAAAAGAAAAATTATAAAAATTCATATATGACAAAAATTAGTTACATCATAAACAGGTCGATCATTGATTTCGAATAACATTAAATCATAATGAATTCGACCACAAATAACTAATTAGAAAAGTTTATAAATTCATTTATTTTTATAATTAATAACATACTATCAAATTGTTTGTTATCCTGTTCAGATTGTGATTGAATTATCAGTTGAAGTTTTGGTCCTTCTTCATCGTTACAAAGTGATCCCAACTCTACTGGTACATAGTTACCAATACTTGTAATTGAAATGTTTGAATTTTGTTTTAACTAAGAAAAATAATTTTTCATATATTAATTCATATTTTATTTTCAAACATACCTGTTGCCAATATTCTGCCTGTGTAGCTGCCACACAAACCTCATGTGACAGACCATGAAGCGAAATACATGCTGTTTTACCAGTACTACCTGATGATGAAAAATTAGCCATTGTTAACCTCCTGGATACCGATAATTCTTGCGTTCTTAACGAGCTTACAGGAAAATCGAAAAATCATTCTCTCTTGCGTTCTATCGTCTTGAATCAGCTGTATATATGTATATTTATCGCATATAAAGTGTTGCTTGGTACAGTCGGATGGATAAACATTTCGTTTCGCAGCTGTTTATGAACAGGATAGAACGAAAAAAAGTTCTTGCGTTCTGCTTGTCTTCAGCCTGAAGACAGCGGTATCCAAGAGGTTAATGTTATGATATGTGTATTCAACTGATCTTAAATGTACATATCGTAAGATATACATATATATGTATGGATACATAGACATTTCTGCATATTTGAAAAAAGAAAAAAAGGTTATTGTATAAGAAAAAACTTGGACTGTCTGTTACATGTTCATCATTTGTCGTCCGCCGTTTTATTGATGACGGATCATCTGATTTATGATCTGCTGCAATTGATTGGTGTAGCGTCAAATATTTGTTTCTGAGCTACACTTGGTATATATGTACCTACTGGTGATGACGATTCTAATTAGTCCTAATGTCAAAAAACACTAATTAAGAAAATCACAAAAGGATATCGGGTGTAATGATAAAAACAGTATATAGATGTCACTGATTTCAAATTAGTCACGGAAGAGACCTGTTATGACAGCATAGCATGCAATTTCTATTTTCGATACAGATTCGTTGTCGATCCTCCTGTATTAAAAGAAATACTGATTTTCACGAAATCTTTGAATTTTTGTTGTTTATTATACAATAGTAATTGACTATTTCCGGATGAACTTTATTTTTTATTGAATTCATCAAAAGTACAGGTTTACAATCAGAGGCGTAAGTCATCTCTGAAGGCGAGGGAGTTGGTGTAGGGGAGTCTCCGAGGGTTTTCAACATAGAAAAGTGCCTAAAATAAGGGTGCTGCTTAGTTAAATTTCTAAAGCAGGAGATATAACGCCTCACACGCCCTGCTCCCTTTATTTACGCCCCTGTTTACAATCAAAAACAATGCTTTTTTGTGTTGAATTCGAGGGACAACATAATTTGTTCATCCTTACTTATTTTTCCAAAACACGTTACTTTTATTTACAAAAAAAAAATTAGTTTGTATTAGTTTCAACAACATCAGCTTTTTTTCTTCAGTCTTCTACAATAAGACAAAAAATACAAACCAATAAATGTACTATCGTCCATGCACATTTCTTTTTCTTTTTTTAATAACAATCATCGATAAGGGTCTTGTTGACCAAGCATGCAGTTCATCTATCAGTGAATCATAGATTTATGATCTATAATTGGTACCACTTGCATAAGAAACAGCTTCTGATCATATTCAGTGCCTCATTGTAATATAAAGTATTAAAATTTAAAAAGAAAATTTTTTTAAAGTTATGACACTTAGTAGATTATCTGTCATTAGTATTTGCTTATATTAGAAAATAAATTATGGTTATGTTGTACATCTCAACAAGTATAAATGAATGGAGAATTATCTTTTTATTACAAAAGATTAATGGATTATCAGATTTATAAGAATCATCAATAATTTTCTTATATTTTAAGACAAGATTGAGAAATAACCTCATGTATTATGAGCGATTTAAATTTCTGTTTGCTTCTTCTATTTCATAATGGAAATGTACATTTCATCGTTGTCCCACAGTAGTCTATAGAAATCCGAATGATCAACATATGTGTATTGAATTTGATGCAGACCCACGGGCAAAACTAAACGAGTTGCAGTTAAAAATTGTATTGACAATCTTTTTGAATGATATTATGAGGATATTAAAAATGATATGGAATACTTAGCTAGTTTATCATTTACAATTGCTAAACGAAAAGACATAATAATTGATAAATGTTTCTTTTTTATCTCTTGACTTATGTTTGATCTTTGTTTTAATGTTAATATTATTCCACACAATAAAACATGTATGTCGCTAGTCAAAATTTTTCTAAAACATTTTTTAATATCGATAGCTTTTTTAAACTTTTGACGACTGAACGAACGCCCATTTCGATTTTTCTTCGTTCATGACCTCTCTCTCTCTGGAAACAAAATATATTTCGGTCGAATATTTTCATTGTTACTGATTGTCATCAATGTACAATGATCATCCGATACGTTTCAACCTATAAAGAGATGGCAAAGAAATAGTTGCATTACAATCAGTTCAAAATGGCCTCATCTTCATTTCAACAATGTAAGATTTCATCATGCACACATGAGTCGTTCGCTGTGTGTGAATGTTGTCATTTAAATATTTGTACAATGCATATTAACGAACATTCGAATCGACACAATACTCAGTTCACATCACTCGTCGACGAAATCAAGGCACTCACTAATCGAATCTCTTCATTTGAAGTGCCTTTTCTCGTCAATTTCGAGCAATGGCGTCTTGAATCTCAACGAACACTCGATTCTTTCTGGTGCGAGATGTAACACAAGAAAACATAACTAAGATCAAAACCTTGATTCATCGGATCGAACAAGATTTAGCTCATATTCGATTTAATTTTCATCCTCTTATTATCGACGAAAATCTGATCGATCAATGCTCACAAGATCTTGTACCTTTTTTCATCTTTATATCGAGCGATTCAAGTGACTGACTTTTCGTATGTTGTATTGGCCGTCAATACAAGACATCTATTAGTATATCGAGAACACAGTTTGTGTTTATTCCATGGACAATTAACTATTGTGATGCAAACGCTATGGCCTCTTGTTTTTTCTGATATATGTTGGTCATTAACACTCGATCATTTTATTGTGGTCAACCGTAAATATGTTTTCACATTGGATGAAAAAACAATGCTGTTTTTTGAACGATAATTATGGTCAGATTCAGATACTAGACTCTTCTTATCAACAGAAGGCATTGGATCTTCTATCTTTGAATACACTCTCATGATGTTCATTATGTTCGTCAAAGAGTGACAGTTACCTGTTCCATGCACAACTAATGAATAGATTCAAGATCGTAAGTTTAACAATGACTTTCTAGGTTTAATCATATGTTGTTGTATAACGAATAATATTCGTCTTGACGATTTAGCTCGACGAAGCGTGTTCGATTTACACTATTCATTGTTGTCTAAGAATTGATAATCAATGGATGGTAGTTACTTGCCGGAATCTTCGAATCTTTCATATTTCTACAGAAGGAAAACTTGTTAACATCAACAAGAAATATTGATGGCCTTCGAATATCTGCCAATTCGAAAACGGTTTGCTTGCTATATGGGAACAAGAATGTATCTATCTGCAAGATCTTTGTTAAATGTTTGTTTTATTATGTAGAGTTCAATTGTTACTGTTATATACGTTGTTCTCTAATATAGATTGATTAAAAAAAAAATTGTGTGTACCATTAACTCCATCTTATGTACCTATTCATTGTTTACTTATTTTACAGAAAAAATATAAGTTCGTATGTCGAAGAATATTAAATTTAAAATTTTTTCATTTTTAAATCAAGAAATCCTTCGACAAGTATAACAAGGTCTATATATAACATCAAAAAAGAAGAAAAGAAGTAGAGCAACACAAATAGGACACAGATGAAGATATACAATGATATAGATGGCATATCATAAGGCTGCATAAAGCAAATGTAAAGAGTCATGATAAAGAAGAAAGAGATGGAAGTTCAAACAGAAAATCATAAAGCAAAAAAAATACATATGTGAAGAGTATGGAATTGCTTGTATAGATTAGAAGCTTGTGATTGATGTTAAATTATCTAAGATGATGCCTACATTTATAGGATTAGAAGAATGTCATGATTGATTAAAAAAATACTTGAATCATAGATAGATGAAAATATTACTCAGAATGTCATGTAATAGAATCTTTATAAAAGAAATTCATGACATTTATTAACACAAACGACGTCTTTTTCTCGCTATTAATAAATTTAGTTAGTCAGATCTTTTATTTTAAATAAGAAACCATTATATCACTGAGTAATAAATCATCGTCAAGAAATAAGTTTCTTTATTTGTAGAAAATGTAGTACTTCAACACAACTTTTATCGATGTTTCTCTTATCAATATGAGCTATGAACATTCCTCTATTAATGGTAAAAAAATCAGCTCCTTTGGTTAAAGGATGGCACAGATGTTCAATTTTTTCTACGATAAACGAGCTTTTGGGCCACCCTATAGTGGGTCCCATCGGTGAGACCCATCGCCGCGAAAGGGTTAAGCAATTGATGGGCTAAATATATCATTATCTAGCTTTCTGTGAAACACTTTGCAAAAGCTTAAATGAGAAATATGCTTAAACAGTTGCTTTAATAATTGATAATGAATATATATTACAATGGTTAAAAAATAAACAACTCTTTACTATAAAGAAGATAATTTTTTGTATTACTTCCATTAATGTCTTGTCATTTATTAAGAAAAATACTGTTTAACAGGAAAATAATCTGACTTTAATTAATATAAATATATACTCATATATTTAAGCATTTTCTTTTAAAAATTGTTCGAATAAATCCTCTATATCTGTATTATTATTTAATAAAATTAATTTATGTTTTATTAATTCTAAAAATGTTTGTCGTTGATTATTAATCATTTCAGCATAAATTTTTTTTTCATTTGATGTTTTAAATTTTTCATTATGTGAAAATTCTTCTTTTAAATGTTTTGAAATAAATTTTCTTAATTTTTGATCAGTTTGATAAATTATATTTTGTTGATTAATTTCTGTTGCTAATCGACGTTGCTCATTATTAACTATATTTAATTGTTGTTCTGGTTCATTACAAGCTTGTTCAATACGTTGAAGAACTATATGTAAATGTTCACTTGTTAAACCTTGATTTGTTGTATCAATTATTAAATCATCATTTGATAAATCATATTTTGAATAAATATTTTCTATTGTAATATTTGAAACACGTTTAGATATATCACGTTTTTGATTTCGTTGATGAGCAATAGTTATATTTGCATATAGATGTATTATTGCA